GGGGATGAATCTTAGACTGCTGCAGAGGAATGCTGCTTCCAGGCAGAGAAGCCTGCAGCAAAAGAGTTTGTGGTTTAGCTGAAGCTCACATACATGTAACACAAGAGAGAGATTTTTACAAATGTTTGTTTTACTGAACACTCAATTTGGATAATTAGGTTTATACTTAACTTGAATTGGGCTATACTTGTACATATGCTCTATGATAATAATAATGATAAATAAAACTACTGACAATGTAATCAGAAATAAAACACTTTATATTTATACTAAAGGATCCTAAAAGATGCACATCTTATTTATTTGAAAATGCTGCAAAAAAAGAACATGTTTAGACATCATTTATGAAAGTTGCTAACCTTTACCTGGTCATAAAACCCAAAATGATTGTCTCCATTAATGAGTCATACCAAAGAATCTATGAAGAAACGCTTACATTTTTCGCATGGGAACATTTATAAAATAATGCCAGTTCTAAGGAGCAAAGCGTAGTAACCCATAGCAAACCTGACAAAACATCTCTCATTGTTCTTAGTGCTACAAACGTATGAAAGGCAACATCTGATTGGTTTCTATGGAATACTACAAACCCCTATACACTACATCGTCATACTGAATAAACTCATGAGTATTTATTTAGATGTGTATTAAAGGGTAAAATGTAAGCATCTCATTTGTAGTCAATGAGACACTAAGGGACTTTTTCAGCTTCTACATAAAGATGATATTCTCTTAGTGTGAACAGGGATTTGGCATGAAAGTCTTGTGTATGCTGACTCTGTAATTTTTTGCGGACATTCTTGGAAATTATATTTATGAGGTACTTGCAAGCACAGTCTGTGTTTCAGTATCTACAGATGTGGCTCCCTTTGCAAAATAATAATAATCTGTACATATAAAAATAACATGAACGTATTCATTGGGAAGAGATAATAGTTATCATATGTTCAGAGAGGGAAGTGAAAAGGCTGATTACCAGGCTGAAGGCATGAAGATGTCTTGTTACTTCATGACTAAAGGGGCACTCTGTATAGTCTTCTTTTGTCCAGAGTCCAGTGCGGTCACACTTTCGCCAGGCTCGTGGCTCTTCTCCATGTTCTGCATAAAGCAGCGAGTTAAGTGGAAATGCTCTGCAGGGGTAGAAAGCCATCATGCCAGCTATTGTTCTAGGCCATCTGGGAAAGGAAAAACAAGACTTTCTTTTTTTTACATAGTTTGGAATTTTCCATGAGCCTCTCCTGTTAAAGTAATACTAAACACAGGAGCAACATCTTAAAAATACATTTATGTACCTTAACTATTAACAAAAATATATCTTATTTGTATCTCACTCAGCTGTAGATCCTCAAATCATCTCTAAATTGGTGCTGACACTGTACTTCCTTCTGGAGGGTGGCTACTTTTGTTCCCCATGGTCCCTGTGTGTGTTGTAAAGTAGTCACCGCTCCAAGCTCCCTCCTGTGATGGACTACAATCTCATGTTTAGTTTACTAATTAATATTGAAGTTATAGTCTATCAAGGGAGTGAGCTTGGAGCAGTGGCTACTTTACAACACACACAGGGACCATGGAGAACAAAAGTAGCCACCTTCCAGAAGGAAAGGTGTCAGCACAATTCAGAGATGATTTGAGGATCTACAGCTGAGTGATGCACAAATAACAAATTTTTTTGTTAATAGTTAGGTGACTTAAATGCATTTTTAAGATTTTAATCCTGAGTTTAGTGCCACTTAAAGTAAATATTAACCCAATTCCTAAAATCTCATAGAAGCGTTAACAGGCAATTTCAAATGTACATTTTAATATGTTTAAATCTATAGCTTCAATCAAAATAATACTTGGTGACCAGGCACTTGCTTTTATAGAATGACAATGCTCTATCCCTGTCTCCCAATTGTACTCCTGCGTTGTCAGCTAATTACATGGGCTTTCAGTGGGGACTTCAGTACACATTACACAGGCATGGACCACTGATTTTATTATCAGACGACCAAGCTTGAGAAATGCCATTCAAGAATCCTTGGAGTGAATGTACACATAAAGTGGCTGCTAAGAGGCTGCAGGGAGGCCAGTAACACTGGGATACAACAAGAGATGGATAAAAGTGAAAGCAAGTATTTTATTTTAATACAATATTAAATATCTGCCTAAAAACAAGTATTTTATTTAAATTAAATACTAACACTTGACTTTTAAATAAATAAAAAAGACAATTGTTTATGATACACAGCACTTATGAAAAGTAATGCCATACAGTTAGGGTTTACATCTATTTTAAAGAAATCGAAATGATAAGTGATTCTATTATAATAAGATGATTATGATATGATTATATGATATTCAATGGAAACAGCTACCATGTATTTAAACAGTCTCGTATGTATAAAAAATACAATAATTTACACTGAATGTAAACCTCATCATGCATTGGATTCAATGTGAATAACCATTTTAGGGTGAAAGGAAATTACATTTGATAGCAGCTTCCTGAAGGAATTACAGTCTGATGTGTATAGGAGAATGCCATAGGCCCATGCCATTATACTACTTTCATTTTAAACATATTTGGCCCTGAAAAACATCTTAAACGTTATCTATATTTTTATCATACATCTGTAACTGGTTATTAAAATCCCCTTTATATAAACCAATGTTTAATGTATTATACGTCCTTTCGGTAAAAGAAAGAAGCCTAGCCCTTGTATTATGTTGTAATGCCTGACCTTCAGTGTGGTCCCCCGTCCAGTCAATTGGCCAAGTAAAACTTGCTAAGGGACCTGCTAGAGTACTTGGAGCTTGTCAAAGGTTCTCAAGCTGCATCCGCCCCCAACTTTCTCAACTTAAAATCTGTCTGCCAGGTCTGTCCCGGAGTGGGTTACATCAGTTGACGAGTGTTAGTCTGGGGAAAATGTGGGAGTTTTCCTCTTTTTCAATCAAAAGTGGAAAATGTATTTATTTTATTTCCGTCAGTCCCTTCCCTCTGGTAGAGATTACATTCTAATTGTACAAGGCACCTATGCCAAATGTCTCGTTGAATGTCAAACTAATGGCATGGCTGATAAAATTATATGCCTACCACATGCATATTGTCATTGTATGAAAGTGTCTGTTGTCTTTTCCATGATCTGGAAAAACATCCCCCAGACTGGGGTAGTAAAACACGCTACAAAACGGTGTATTTTCAGTGTTGCATACCATACACATAGCAGAACTTAAAGAGGAACTTTACCCATATCTGCAAAATAACAACAGAGACACCTTTAGAAAAGACAATCAACACAGGGCAGGTTACTAGATCTCCCTTTACTTCCTGGAATGTGACTAGACACGAGACCGTGTACATCATCTCAGGGGAGGGAAATGCCTTTCCCCGGGATCTCATGAGATTACAGATGAGATTTCCCAGAAATGCAATGCTGATGTAACCTTCCCAGGATACAATGCTTGGGCATATTACATAATTTGTTCCAAAAGAAATTGTAAGTAAAATGAAAATATATTTAACTAATAATTGGAAGATCATCTCATATCAGAATGCAGAGCTGTATGCTGATGTGATTTGTAGTCAAAGGGGGTAAAGGTCCACTTTAAAAAAAATATATTTAAAAAAAATTATTTAAAATTGATTCTTCGATTTTCTATTCTGAGTTCACCTGGACTGCAGCCTCCACCACCCTCTGAAAAGTAATCTGCTATCCATGTGGGGATTCTCCATTACAATACCATGCTGCAACCGAGTACCCACACAGCTGCAGCGCGGTCCAATTTACTGCAAGGATTGCATTTAACAAGTGGCACCGCCTGACAGACGAGATTTGCTGTATATTTTTTGCTATGCCATGGTGCAAAGCATTGTGGCCATGGCAATGTGTGCAGCACTCTACGTCCACAGTGCTGACATTGCTGCAGGTGACCAGGGGGTAGTTAAATTACTGATCAATTGGTCCGGTTTTACCGCCACCTTACCGTCCATGTGAAAAAGACCGTTTTCCCTAAGTGATGTTAAGGAGGGAACTGGGGAGTTACGTTCACCATAAATAATCCAGTCTGTACTGTGCTGGCAGGTCTCACTATCAATTGTAAACAAGGTTTCAACACTTTGTTCTAACAAAGGGTTAAACATCTCAAAGCTTGGATGATGCATTGTATGTTAATGAGTAGTCTGTCCCCACTTTTTCAATCTGAATTTGCTCCTCTTGTGTCACGTTCCAAAGAAACAAGAAAAATAACAAATTAAAAAAATATTTTTTATGTATGCTGTGTGAATGGGAACACGTAGCAAATATAAAGGGGGTTATTCACTAAGCTGCCAAAGAGTTTAGCTGAACGTTTGGCTAATCCTTTGGCTCGCTTTGGCTGCAGGAACCCTTCTGTACAGCAGCTGAAGGCAGCCGAAGACACAGCTTAAGCAGGGAGAATGTTCAGCCAAAGTGGACCGGCTTCCTGCAAGTATGTAGTAGATAAAAAAAAAAGGAGGTGTGGGGTTCCCCTCCTAATTAATACCAGACCCCTTAGGTCTGGTGGGAATTTTAGGAGGGACACAATGTCAGAAAAAAAAAAAAGCTCCCCAAGAGTCATACCAGACCCTTTAGGTCTGGCAGGAATTTTAGGGGGGGCCCCAACACCCAACAAGCAAAAAAACTAGACCTTAATCCAAGCACAGACCTGGAAAAGCACCTTGTCCCCATGTCGATGAGGACAAGTGCCTCTTTCCCACAACCCTGGCCCGGTGGTTGTGGGGGTCTGTAAACGGGGGCTTATCTGCTTCTGGGTACCCCCTTTGCCTCCCCCCCTAGTGAATGAGTAAGGGGTAGTGGTTTCCCCTACTCATCCACCAAAGAGTCAACTAAAATGTAAATAAACAGACAACAGACAACATCAGTCACGTAATCCAGGGCCAATAACGATGACGCCCGCTGACTCGCCGAAATAAAAAAAGTCCCGACACCCACGCACCTGTCCGCTCCCAAAAAACTCACACCACTAAATAACAAATGTGACAGATGGGTGGAGCGAGTCATGATGTCATGGACTAGCGCTGCCCTTTTTTTATGCCATTTCAGGTTAGTGAGCTGTCATGGCATGAAAACAAATGGGAGGAGCGAGTCGTGACAACATGACTCACTCGACTTCTGTTTACATTAGTGAGTGGAGTTGTCAAATCTGTCATATCTGGGGTTCATTGGGAACAGATGGGTGTGCAGGCATCAGGACTTTTTTTATTTCGGTTAGTCGGCGGGCGTCATTCATCGCCCACTCTGTTTCTTCAGATTTTTTTTTTGGCATAACACATTAACACATTTCATTCTGTCCCCTACCTCTGAGGTAGCGAACATAATGACCAAGCCCAATGCTGCTCAGCAGCATTTATCTATATTCTCTCTTTGTTGTTTGGCTCCTATGAGAATAGGGGTGCACAGCAGATAAGAAACTGTGGAACGTTCGCCGCAACGGATCCAGATAATGCTTTGACTGAGGCAAATGGATTCTTCCCTTCGGTTAAGCAAGACTTGCTGAGTCTGTTCGGCTGAACTGAAGGGAAGTGAAGTGAGCCGAATGCAGCTGATGTATGGCTCAAAATAGCCATACAGGGCTTCTGTGAATAGCCAAAGAGAATTTGGCTCGCTTCACTGCAGCTTGGTTATTCATTCGGCTGCCTTTGACAGCTTAGTGAATAACCCCCATAGCGGGGTTTTTTGTTTTTTTTAAATCTGACTGCAAAAGTGGAAAAGGCTAAGAAGAGTCGGACCACCATACGTATACATGAAAACGTTTAATAAAAAAAAAAAACCTAATATCACAATCATGTCACACTAGCTCACATACACCAGATAGCTGCTGAAGAAATCAGACATAAAATATGTTTGTTGACATAGGCAATTTTGCTTTTTTCATGTATAATTCCAGCCATCTAGCAGTAATGGCTTACAACTTTGCTGTCAAAACAGCTTGATCTCTAAGACAGAGCCTGCTTTTTACAGCTTCACACTCTTACCTGCTGTCTAAGGAACTGATGTGAGATCAGAAAAGCGGAGACCTCTTCCATAAGAGATTATTAGCCTGCAGATGCATCAGTATGTGAATGCCTTGGAAACTATGCCTTTTACTAATCATATATTTAAAGGGTTTAAAGGCTTCCAGCCATTTACAGTGTATTCTCTTTCAAGAGTACTACAGACTCAGAACTGACTTTTGAAATATTCTTTAAAATACATTTTCTTGAACTTTTCTGAAAGATGATCAATAAGGTTGAGAACATCTTCTTTTTGATTTATATCCAATGACAAATTGCCTTTGGCACTAAATTGAAGCTGAATTAAAGATTTTATTAATCTACTGACCGCTAAGAAAAGGTAATGTATGCTACCCAGGCTTGCGCTGACTCTGACACACTTTACAGAAGTTTATATTAGTCCCACTAAATGCATAGTACAAAATGCAGAAATCAGCAAAACCCATCAAAATTCTGCTTTTACCTACCCGCTTTCTCTATAACCTGCTCGGCTGTTCTGGGACTGACACTAAAGAATCAGAATCTGAGGTCTGTTTAGTTGCTTTTGCAATAAATACAACTGCTTTACTGTGTTTAACCTCTGTTTAAACTTTTCCATTTGGGATAGAGTAGGAAATGGTTATAATCCCTATAAGGTTTTCTTTTTTTACCTTTTGAGATCTGGGTCCCGTTTGATAGATTTTTTTTAAAGGAGAACTATGAGGTGAGTGCTTTTTACTCACCTCATAGTTCTAGTCGACCTGTGACAATGAGACTGTCACAGGTCGGCTCAGTATCACATACCGGCGTTCGCTCACCTCTCGATCCTGTAGCTCTCTGCCGTGACAGGGGAGTGGCTGGATTCCCCCCTCCCCGCTCTGACCCTCCAGCACTGACTGGCGGAACGGACAGGGGAGGGGCGGGTACAGCTGGTTGTGCCTCTAGATAGGGGGCGATCCAGACATAATTGCGGCGTCTCAGTATACCGTGAGCTGTAGCTCGCAGTATACCGAGCTTAGGGTGATGGGAGGACGCTAGTTTGTGTCCCCCCGTTAGCCTAAGGAGAACTATGGGGAAAAGCCCTAACCAAATAGTTCTCCTTTAACTTACTGTCCTGTAGACATAAGAGTGAATGAGAGGAAATCTCACTAAAGTGAGGTGACAGCTGTGACCATATCAAGTATCCCCTGGGATGTTAAAATACAACTTTATATTATTTTGGAGTAAGGAAAGGCTATAACTTCTGTTAACATTTTTTGCCATCTATGTCCTATTGGGGAGATTTCCCAACTTTTAATTTATTTTTAGTTTTTTTTTAGTTTTGGATAGAGTGAAAAAGTGGTAAAAGCGCCATCAGGGTTTTAATTGTTTCTGGGGCACCATTGAGGAAATTTCCTGTCCTCCTTACAACATTGTCACTGGTATACATGTGAGATGAAATATTCACCACAATGTGGCAGGAAAGGAGAGGACATTTCCTTAATAGGGCCACAGACAACAATAAAAAATTGACAGGGGTTCCAACCTTTCCCTGATGGAACCACAGCTAAAAGAGGTTTTGTCTGGCGTTCAACTTTAAATACCAGCTCCATTATACACCTGCATAGACCAGGTGCTCATTCTGATTTCATTTTAGACAAAACAAGAGGATGTAGGGGTGCCAAGACAGAATGTCATCTCACCCAATACACTATATTGCAAGTTGAGATATTAATGGGGCTCTCTGAGATGACAAATACCACAATCAAAACATCCATATTTGTAAAGTTTATTTTTATTAAATTAACATTATAAAATATTTAGTCCTACCATAAAAATCAATGAAAAACCAAATTACATAATGTTTGTTTGACAATCATAACCACCCATTAATTTGCTAGACTTAAAGTGACATTAAACCCTCAGATGTTTTTAACATAAACCAATACTGTAATGTGTGCCTTACTGTAATCCATGGTAGTTTCACTTCTCTTTGCTGCTCTTTCTTATAAATCCTCATGTCTTCTCATACTTGGGGAGAACTTCCCTTTGCAGCTGGGTGCCTCTTCCTGTAGTGCTGGCTCAGGTTGCAAACCTACACACAGACACCATGTACCCATTCCTGAGACAAGGCAGTCTGCTGCAAAACAGAAGTTCTGCCCAGCATGAGAACGAATACAGATTTAAAAGGAAGAGCAGCAAAGAGAAGGGAAACAAGCATGGATTACAGTAAGGCACACATTACAGTATTGTTTTATGTTAAAAAATCTGAGGGTTTAATGTCACTTTAAATTACATTTCACATAAATTACATATAGATTTGTCTCCCATAGGGATACAATGGTTAGTTGCTTCTCTTGTATAAGATTTTCAAGAAGGTGATTAACGTTGATCATTCATGTAGCACTTCAACCTTTCAACTTGTTGAAAATCTTATACAAGAGAAGCAACTAACCATTGTATCCCTACGGATGACAAATCTGTATGTAATTTATGTGAAATGTAATTAAGTCTAGCAAATTAATGGTCGGTTATGATTGTCAAACAAACATGTCATTTGGATTTTCATTGATTTTATGGTAGGACTAAAGATTTTATAATATCAATTTAATAAAAATAAACTTTTTTACTACTATGCATGCTTTGATTGCAGTATTTTGCCATCTCAGAAAGCCACATTAATATCTCGACTTGCAATATACTGATTTCATTTTCACATCTCATATGATGGGGAGATTTTCAAACTGTCCAGCCATCCATCTATTCCAGACTTACGTTTGGCAATCACATTAGTCTGTGTTCCTGCTCAGAAAAGCCCTTAGATGTACTCACAGTCTCTTAGTTTGGCTCAATCAGGGAACTTTGTCTGAGAAAGCTAAATTTGACATATAAATTCCTGTGAATAAAATATTGTGAGAGTTAGGTAACTCAAGCAAAAACAAAGCTGTTGGCCTAAGTTACCTTGACTTTTTCTGCGTGTGTGTTGTGAGGTTTGGGGAAGTTAGCACAAATGGTGAGCGCTTAAGGAATAGCCTTGAAGCCGTTTTAAACATAAACAAGACAGTCTTTTATTTAATTCAGCAACAGAAAACAAAGCTTCAACGATAATACAAGGTCCGCTTGTATTTCAGCAAAACTGAAGGTATGACAAGCTCACCAACTCCAGGTTGTTGCACATACTCCTTGTGTCCCAGTCCCTAGACATTAGGGTATTTCTTAACAGAGCCACACCCCACCTCTCGTGGCACTCTAAAACACATCCCTCATGTGTCACTGGCTCTCTGTCTCCTCGGCTGTCTTCTAGGTGCCTCCAGCACACACAGCCACCTGGCTCCCCTCTGACGTCTGGATGGAGTCCTCCTGACTCCTGAACACCTCTGTTCCTCTTCCCAGCTGGAGCCCAGAACATTAGCCAGCACCTTTCCATAAGGGCTGTGCACAGGTGTGCAATTAGGTGCTGGCCACTACTAAACGATGGATCCAGGAATGGAGATTTCATCTCTCCCAATTCTCTTAGAAATCTCCCAGTTTCAGGATCCCATGCCAAAGCCAGAAATCCTGGGAAGAACTGCAAAGTCAGCCCTTTCCCAGTACAAGAACTTGCCTCCTGGAACCGCTCAGCATCTCTGGCTGAGGGTCCTGGGTGACTACAACCCCAGTTCTACCATGGGATTGCCACACAATACCACAGTGTATAGTAGACAAGCATAGTTCAGACAAATGGAACATCATCTAGGTTTAAGCCAGTTGACCCCTGCTTTGGTTTATTTTCGCTTTATGCAGAATATTGCTGTTAGAGGTTTCTTTCTTGGAAAGTAGTGGAGAAAATCCATGGAAAGAGCAACAAACAATCTGACTGCTACTATGTTTTAATTGATGCAATCTGCTCCTCCAAAAACTGTTGATATTTAGCAGTTCATGGACATGCAAAAGAGAGCATTGGAAGAATATGTTTATTCTCTCACCAGTTTCCATTTAGGCAGGCCATAAGCTATAACTTGAAACAATCATATAGTCAGTTTGCCAACAATCCCAAAGTGGGAATTGTCAAAGATTTTCCAGGGTGCTGAAGTCCCATCTAGCTTTTGGTAATAGGAGCTGCTGATCAAGCCGTGATTATCAGCAAAGTATAATATCTGAAATGAAGGCAAAAAGAAAATGCACAATGCTCCACTCTACCCTGGTCATATACAATCACGCTCTGCTTTGCCAAAAAAATAAAATCAAGCTCTCCTTTGCCCCCCCCCCCCCCTCCTGTTGATAACTTCTAGCAGGAGGTATACATTAATAAATGAATGACCAAGTACAGTAAATAAAACAAAGAAGATACATTAAAATATTTACCTAAAATCCCCTCTGTTATTGATTATTCTTTCCATGGGGCAATAAGGTGCTCCAGTTTCTAGAACAACAATTTCTATTTGCTTGGAGATGCTTCCATGGGAAGTATTCACTCGGCATTCCCAAATACCCGAGGCATCTACATCAACACTGGACAAAATGAGGTCACTGCAAAACATAAATATCAGGATTTTATTGTTACACAAATAGGATATAAATTCTGGCAGTTACTAAAAATGACTAAATATTATTAACAATATATTATTATATACACTGACAGTTTGTCATTCCATCCAGTGACACTTTCATCGGATACAGATCCATATATCCACTTCTTTCTTGAACTTTTTTAAAATTTGTATAACCCCCCCTTCCCCCCCCAAAAAAAATTGATACCAGCAGGTTAACAGGTCATGAATTTCATTTAAAGTGGATGAAGTCACTCCTGTGAGCATGTGCGAGCATATCATGCTGGCCCGACCAATTAAAAGGCTGAAGAAACTGAACCCAAAAGACAACTAGAAGAAGATGGAAGTATCAGCCATGGAGGGGAGAGCAGACAGTGCAGCGCTAGAGGGGATTGCCTACAAGGTGAGTCGGCTACAATGTGCTAATTTGCTGTGCATACTAGCACATTATGGCAAACACCTCCAGAGGGCTTTACTTCCACTTTAATCATTTGAAATATACTGCATTTTCAATTTGAATACATTTGAAGCGTATTGGAATGCGCATCTTAAAAAAATATTTTGATGTGCCTTTCACTTTTTACATGCTAGGCATGCAGCTGTCGCAGCATCCAACGTCATTTAAGCCATTTCTTGTCAGTCCAGGGCATCATGATCATGGACATGGACACCCCCCTCCATCCCGAGATGTGTCATTGCACCTTTCTGGGCTCTCAGGATTACTTTAAAATTACACAACCGCTGCTCTGTGCAGGTCTAAGGACCTCCAGAGGGAAGAATTTGGGGCAAACGTAAACTCTGTTCTCCTCATCCCTATTCATAGTTCACCCAATTTTATTATCATACAATGTATAATTTTTTTCTGAAGGGTTGGCAGAAATGAAATCCATAGCAACCAAAACATTACCTGCAATCAGTTCTGAGCAGTCAAAACAAATCTTGCTGCTGACTGTGCCTAAGGTTACTACAGTTTGCACACTGCACTTTTCTTTAATAAATAAACTGGCCAGCGAACTAGAGCCCTTTTTTGTCTTTTTCTTTCCCACCTACTAAGGTCATGCCTACTGATTAAAGACAAGGAATACAATATATTGACAGGTTCTTCATTCAGAACAGCAGTACTTAAGTGTGCTACACTTCACCAAGAGCTATAAATACAGATTGTGCTAACAAAGAAAGAACTTCCAGATAATTTGATCTTCAGTATGTTTATTTCTAAAAATGGCAGGCAGACAAATCTTAAATATAGGGGCCTGTGGTGAAACGCCATCACGCAGAAAATAGATGAACATCAGGAAAACAATTGTAAGACGTCAGACATAAGAAAGAGAAATTATTCTGCAAGGCACCGGCCAAATTACAGAGTTTTCTGCTTTTTAATGCTGTTCTGTTTAGCAGCTGATCAGTCAAGCGCATCCAGTCGTGTTCCTCAATGTTAATATGTCAGCAAATTGTTCTGTAGCAGAGGCCAGCACATAAAGCCAAGCTAATCTGGATTGTTAATTTGCACTTAAAATATCTACAGTACCTTTCCCATTCTTTACCTGCAACATATAGTATTTTCTCTGCATTCTTTATTTTTTCTGTTATATTGCATTACACATCTTTCCCTGTTTTCTGAGGTGCATCAGACACAGACAATGCACTTACATCCAAAAGTGACCCCTCCACTGACATAAAATCCTATCAGGGCTTCTTCACAACTTTGTGGTGCATTACGGTATGCACATTAGTACACCCCAGGGTACTGGAAATCAGACCTGACCCTTTTTTACCACCGACGCAGTGGGAAACAATGTTAGCATAAAAAGCCCAACCAAAATCTTTTTGGTATTAATTGCTATTGTCTCCAACAGGATTTTCTAAACTTCCTGTCCCAGAGGCAGGAGTCAGAGGGACAAGACATGATAAGTAAAACATTCAAAGGGAATGCAGACAAAAAAAAACAACACTTCTATTGTCTGTTGTAGAAATAGCAAGAAACGATGAAACAGCATAGATCCCATTATTACAGACCATTGCAATGTTACATGCAAATTTGTATGCAATATTAAAGGTTATGTAACGCATTTCTCTGTGTTCCATAACTGAGAATATCTTATTGAGTTTGGTAAATACTTTTTTTTTTAGTAGAGTGGGAAGGTCTGAGGTTTTTATTACCTTCAGAGCCTTCTTGTACTAGTGACCCCTGTACCCTTCATTTCATCTTGGTGTCAGTAGGATAAAAAGCATGAGAAAATCTTCCCAAGGGAGTTAAAGGACAGAAGCCATCAAAAGTAAAACATTTTTGGCTGGTGTTGGGTATTAATTAAGATATCTTCACAAATCAAAATTGCCTACATGGTATCCATACAAAAATGGAATGCACATTTTGTGCTATTTAATAAATACCATTCCGTAATGCAAGAAATGTCATAGCTTGAAGGTATCGGTTTGCCTTTTCTCCAAGAGTTACACCACCGAAAAAAAACCCAATGCATCATTAGCTTCACAACATGAATTTGAAAGGATTTATTATAAATTTCTGTTTTTCCAAGAACCAATTTTCTATTAATCAAAAATAAAATGAGATACCCTTCAGTCAGTTTACGATGCCGCGTATGAAAATAGCGTAAATCTGTTGGGAGTGTCTGTTCCATGGATTAATGAAACAAATCTAATTTTCTTGTTTTATTTTTTTTTTTTATTCTCCAATTGTTGAGCGAAAAGCAATTGAGCGCATGAGCATGCATAATCATTTGCATTTTGCAAGACGGGAACTTTAACCTTAAGCATTATGTTTTAATCCATAGAATGTCAAGAAAATAAAGAATGATAAGAAAGAGAATGCAGCGTCTGTAAAGTAATAGATACTGTGGCGTGAAGGGCTAAGATAGGGGAGGCAAACATTGTACCGGTTTTAAGCAAAAATGTTATTATATCTTTAAATATACCTAAACTTTTGTATCTCTTTAGAGTACTACCTATAAAAGTTCCGACCAATGCACTTCAAGCTTTCCAGTCATACATCATGCGTTTTATATGGTCAAATAAAATGCCACAGGTCCCACGGAGGACTTTGTTCCTTCCTAAATCCCTAAATCATGTGGCGGTCTTGGTCATCCTGACCTATTTAAATTGTACATTGCAGCTCAGATTAGCCAATTTACCAAATATCATGCGACCCATGAGATACCCAAATGGGTTGAAATTGAGCCATCCCATCTTCACCCCATATCGGTTTATAACATACTTTGGTTATTGCCGAGAGATAGGCCTCCCATTTTTTGACCCCATCATTTCCCATTCCTTACATCTTTGGGACTCATCTAAATACTCAGTCGCCTTCCCTTCGCCCCATCTACCTATGCTATCCTTTTTCTCTAAACCAGGATTTATACCAGCAATGTAAGTGCCCACTGCTTTTGCCTTCTGGTCCAACAATAACCTAACTCGTTTTTGAAAGTTTCAAATGACCATGGGCCTTTATTTGTTTTCTTTTTTTTTTTAAAAAAAACAATACCACTTCCCTGGCAAGAAAATCTTTAGATATTTACAAATATGGGCTTGTTCCATAGTGTCAAAGTTCTGGTATCTAATTTTTCGTGTACTTCGTACTCTTGCAAACAAAACTATTAACATAGACCCATCTCTAGTTCTCCTTAACAATATCCCAGACACTCTCACATCCACTAAACAGAAACTCCTCTTACACATTCTTTCTGCAGCGAAACATGGCATTGTCAAGTCTTGGAAATCCTCCACCCTAAGTCTCCCCAGAGTCAGACAATATGCGGCATGCATAATGTCCCACAAAAAAAACGATTTGCAAAACTGAATAATAGTTTGTCTAAACCTCATAAAACTTGGTCCCCTTGAGTGAGACATGACCTGCCTCCTAGTTTTGACCCTCAACTCCTTACCATCTGATTTGTCATCACTGCCTCTTTTTGAGCCTCCATCTCCCCACCCTCAGCCTAACCTTAACCTAGACCATTTTCTTCACTATCTTTTGCTCATATCTATGATTCTTTCTCTTACCTCTCTTTCCCACGATCTTTGTCCTGGTGTACCCACTTTTTGACATTAGTCATCTCATTTTATTTAATTAATGGTCCTTTACCATATGATAGCCCTTGGGTGCGTTAAATGTTCTGATAATAGACGCACTCTGTCACTTATCGCTCTGAACCCACTCAATTATACCAATGATACCATTACTATTTTTGTACCCATATGTTTGCATTGATTGCCTTATTAGGGACCACTTATCTATGTTGTGATTATCTCGTCCTGTACGCTCATTGCTTTTTCTTTTTTTTTATTCTCTGCTCTGTTAATACAAAATCCTGTGTTTCTGATTGGAAACCTTCAATAAAAAAAAAGTTAAATGTGAAAAAAAATAACACAAAATAATTAAAGGTACTTTGTAGTGTCTGAAAGTGTGTTTGATATTTCTTAACTTAAGGTTTGCATCCTTGGCAGCCCCCTGCCACCCAAACAAAATTAGCAGTAAGAAGGGGCCCCAAGTCTTCTTTGTTGGAGAGTCTTTCTTTGGGTATTTGGGTATTTTGTTCCCAGGCGACATGGACACTTCCAATAGTATTTCCATAAGCAGTGTCATCACATCGCCCTAAAGACTCCAGTATCATGATGAGAGGCTTGGTCTGCACTGGTGGATCACCAGTCTTCATTAGTGGAAGAGGTGATGCAGAGGGTCAAGTGATGGTGGACCCCAGTAAGTAAAAAAAGTTTTTAAAAAAAACTAAACGTTTTAAGTACATGATAATAGGTATAGGCAGGTGGTACGTGATGCGATTTATAGATACATAATCTGTTATTACTGGCAAACATTTAAGGCTAGTTGCCTGAAACTGGTAATGGAAAAGCTGCAATTAGATGGCTTCTCCTTAAGTTTATCTAGAGAAATAACTGTGCCTGCAAAGATTACAGCTTAGAGATGATTGGAGCTGCCCAAGCTGCAAGAGGCTGCTCCAAGAG